CTTTTATGTGTGCCTTTTATGTGTGCCTTTTATGTGTGCCTTTTATGTGTGCCTTTTATTGTACGCCCCCATTTGTGGATCCTCTCCGAGTTGATAACACTTTGCCGTGCACATATATGAGGAGTGGTTGAAGCAAGGTATGCTCTTTTTTCTCTTCGTCAGAGCGCTTCTCTTTTTTTTTTTTTTTTTTTTTTTTTTTTTTCTACAAACTTTTATTCGATCGATTTGATCGTTTGATGGGCTATAGGCCCCCTCTGGCCGATTTGCTCCGTTTGGCATTTTTAACCATATTTGACGCGCGCAGCATATTCGAGGACGACTCGTCTCCATGCACGACATCTCCATGCTCCATGTTTGAGGCCTTTACGCCAACACAACATGGGGGTGTGCCCAGGCAGATTATTTTTCACCGCCCTCCGCGGTTGCTACAAGGAGGTGTACAGGAGGATATGTGACTCTTCTGCATTTTTGCCCCTTTTTGTTTTTGTTCTTTTTTTTTTTTTTTTTGTGTGTTTGTAAACCCGGTGGGGAACCTCTTCCCCCCAGTGGGTAACTCTCCCCTCCCCATCGGCCAACCCACCATGGGGATCCCCTGCGACAGCCTCAAGGTTGTGCAGAGCGCCCTGAAGGCCAAACCAGCGGGGCGCAGTTGCAACGCTGCTATTATCAAGTGCACAGCACGAGCAGCAGTCTACAAAAAACACAAGGGCATGTTCCAGACTGTGGAGAAGGATATAAAAAGGGAAGGAAAACATTTGGCAGAGCTGCTGTTCAAGAAGAAGCTACACCTCATAAATGAAAAGGACATTAGCAAAATTTTGAAGAAGGTGATAAAGGGAAAGATTAAAAATGAACTCGTGTGGGATGATCTGCAGAGACTGATCTTTTGCTGCAATGTGGGGTGTGCAGGTGGGGGAGGTCCACTTGAGGACCCATCTGAGGGAAGGTCGATGGACCAACTTGCCCAGACATCTCCTCCTCCCCCCAGCACGATTCACGACGCGAGGATGGGCAACAGCACAATGAACGACACGAGGATGGGCCACACGACACCATACAACCGCCACTTTGACCACGTGAACGCCTACCTCCTATCAATCGCTGTGCAAAAGTTAAACAAAAGGAGCGCCTCCCTCCTCAGCTTCCTCTTCTCCTACCTACGAGACTCCTACCGCAGCATGGAGCCTCGACATTTCGTGCAAATATTTCTCGTGCTGGTGAAGCACACGTTCCGAGACGTGTCCCTACTGCACGGGGTTGGCCCACCCCTCCACTGGGCACAAATGGTCCGATCGGAGAAGAACCTCCTGCACGTATTAAGTTTACACTGTGCAGAAAATATAAATCTGTTTAGTATAAATGACGTAGCCATGACATGTGAAGCCCTTTGCTTTTTTACGTCGAGAGACAATCCCTTTATCCCCTTCTGGAATGACGTCCTGTGCCACGTCCTAGGAGTGCCATCTCGGAGGAGCCAAGGGGGAAACACATTCATGCATTCAGGCGATCCCCTCGTAAGGGACGAGGAGCAGAAGGAGAAGAAGCGGTTATCGCCCTACGTCAGGAGGATAATACAAAGGAGAGGACGCCACCTTGGTGAGGTGAAGAAGCAAACGAATGGAACACGTGAAAAAATACCAGCATTGTATTTCGAACTAAGTGGTAGAAATATGCTCAGCATAGTGAAGTACATATGTCTTTATGGGTCCGTCCACAGGGAAGTTCTGAACCCTCTGGCGAAAAAAGCAAAAAAAATATTTTTCGAATTGCCCTTGGACACAACATTACATGAGTGTGTAGAAATTCTTTCCCTCTTTAATAGCATACACGAGTTAGGGGATGTGAAGGCCGAGTTGAGGGAGAGGATAAACTTGTATGAACGTCAGTTTGGAGGAGCCCTCGTGGTGACGCAGTACGATGTGAAGTGTCTGGTGACATTAGCACAACTCTGTTTAGATGAGCTTCACTTTATTCCATTTGTCTCCATTTTTATGAACAGCGTACACAAGTGTTCGGGTGAGGATGCCGCCCGCTTGGTGCGTCTGTTGCTGGTGAGTTGGGGCTCCCACACGGACACCCACACGGACGCCTGCACCGACACGTACACCCGCGTGAGGAGGGGGCTTCTCCCCACGCTTCTCCCCGCGCTGCTCCCCGCGTGCCCCGAAGTGATATCCCAGCTAACCTACACAGAAATGCTGCTCCTCTGCGGAGCGCTCAAAAATTATACACTTCCCAAAGAAAGCATTATTAAGTGTGTAACAAACAGAATCTGTGACGACTTGAAGAAGGTAGACCTACGAAGTAACCACCTACCCCCTTCCTATATCGACTACCTATTCTTAATTACCTTCTCGTTGTACAAGGGAGAATTTTACGCTAATACAAATTTGCTACGCTTCTTAGTGCAGATTCTATTGAAGAAGAAGGAAGACAAGGTGTGGTTACACCATCGCAGGTACCATTATGTCTTTTATTTATTAACTCTACATCGAGGGGGGAGTCAAGGGGATGCCTCCATGTGGGTTGAATACTTCAATTGTGTGTGTGGGAATCTGTCTCCTCGGTTGAGTGAGGAAACATTGTACCATGTCCTCTTAATATATTTTCATATGGCTAAGCAGGGGGACTACCGCTCTTTGGTGCGGCACCTCGGGGGGAAGCGTCGTGATGGAGCTTCTTCTCCAAGCAGCTACCTACCAGTCAGCCGCTCATCAACGAGATGTGCAAAGAAGAAAGCCCTAATGCTCTTGTCCCCTTACGACTGCCGCTTCATCTGCAACGAGAAGCAAATAAAGGAGGAACTACTAAAGCTGTTTCTACATCTATGGGTAGCTTACCCAATTAGATCAGGCAGGAAATCTCTCGACCTTCTAATCGTTATGAATGCATGTAACGAGGACGCACATGTAAGGAGGTACCTATTCAGTACGCACCTCTTGAATAGAATTAGTCGCTACGTCGCATTGTTGATTCAGAAGAAGAGTAGCCTGACGGTGCACCTGTGTGAAGACCCGGTGACGAAAGAACCCATTCGTGTAAACCTGTCCTCGCTACGACACGCGTACAATCGCATGGTGAGCAGGTGGAGGGATGCACAGAAGCTACAAACCACAAAGACGCAAGCGCATATTCAGCAACTGAACAAGGCTACTCGACACTACATCCTAAACGACTACAAGCACAAGGAGAGTATTGCTGTGCAGGGGGGGGATGGCGCACCCCAGAAGGGCAGACCCGCTAAGTACCTTCGGAATTGCAAAAGGGGGGAACCCGTGTTGGGTGCACTTGCGGCCTATGGACACTAGTAAGGGGGGGCTGCTTTTTATCCTCGCCCGCCGTGTAAAATTAACCAAAGACAAAGAGCAGCACTGCGGTGCCAACATGGGAGATGACAAAAAAAAAAAAAAAAAAAAATTTCATCGAATTTTCTCAAAATGATGGTACTACGTTAAAAGGGGGAGTTCGCTCGAGAGGGAGTAAAAAAATGTAAAGGGGAAAAAAAAAAATTTTGCATTATTTTATTTTTTTTATTTTTTTTTTTTTTTTTGGGTTTGTGGGAAAACAAACGAATATATGTCGCTGCGTTGTTAGGTAGCGTGAGCGGTGCCATGATCAGCACGAGGGCGCAGGAAACAAATGAGTACGCCGCTCCGCCGCTTCACGGCTCCACCGCTTCACCACCCCGCCGCTTAACGGCTAGTCGTACCTGCCGATGAAGTAGTCCTTATCAAAGTGATAAATTCTGGCGAAGCCGTCCTCTCCGCCCGACACAAAGCCATCGCCGTGTGGCAGGAACTTAATCGAGTGGACAGTACCGAAGTGGCCCTTGATGCTTCCTAACTCATTTGCGTGTATTATATCGTAGAGGAGCGTTTGAAATTTTCCCTCCCCTGAGGCCGTGGTGGTAACATATTCTGCTGCCTGCCCACCAGCTAAAATGATGTGATTTTTGGGGTTATTTTCATTTTTAAAAAGGGGAGAAATATCACATGTGTTTAGTGGTCTGTCCGTTGTGTATTCATTTATAATATCGAAATTAATTGCATCTCTTAAGGTCGCTGTTCCATCTGAAGAAGACGTTAACATAATCATCCTGTCCTTGTCAAATGCCATATTTGTAACTTCCTTTGAATGAGCTTGTATCTTCCTCAGTTGGTGACCATCCTCGGCATTCCATATTACAATTTCTCCATTTTCGTGTGCAGATAAAATGAGCTGGTCAAAAAAACACCACCTCACTTGGATGCACCTACTTTCATGTTCTTGTTTCCACACCACTGTGTTACTTTTTAAATCATACAGTTTGATAAATCGCTTGTGCTCTACCTTCAGTCTGTCAGTCGCCACAATTATTTTGCTTTGGTCTAAGGGATTTTTGTTAAACTCGACGAAACGTACTGGGCCATTTTCCTCCAGTACGGTCAGCGTCTCTCCTGTGTACACATCAAATACATATACCTTGTTCGCTGCGCAGGAGCAGACAATGCGTTTGCTGTCGTACGTCACATCTGAGTTGTACACGGCACCGCTGCACTCGTACAGGCCTATCTGATTTCCATCGGCCAGTCTCCACAAAATGAACTTTTTATCCTAAGGTGAGGGGAGGAAAGGGAAGAGATTTTTAAACAGGCAACAAAAAAAGGTATGTGATAAGGCTGAACGGTATGCCACACTTATTATAACATCGCTATTGTGCGCGCACAAGACGCCGCTTCACCCCTGGGGAAGCCTCACAATCTGCTACCACCCGGACACTCTCTTCCTTTACGCCAAAATACTAACCCTTCCTGTGGTGAAGAGCAAGTCCCCATCGTAATTTGTATTCACGTGCGTCAGAGGACGATTGTGACCACACAAGTATTTCCTCTTCATCGTGTAAATATATACTCGTTTGACAATATTTAAAAAAAAAAAAAAAAAAAGGTGACTCTTTTTTGTAATACCCCTCCCGGGTGATTTAAAGAGACATCCCCTTCTCAGCAAGGTAGTTTTTTTTTTTTTTTTTTTTTTTT